ACCCCGCGTGGTATCGACAGGCAGGATCAGCAGGCACTTGTTTCCCACAGACACGACACCGTCGCCCTGTATCGTCAGCGCCCGCAGCCACGGAATTTCGCCAGGGCCTGGCTGGGCCAAGCCATGGTGAGGACTAAGCAGCTTGTTTTGAATGTGCACTTTGCTGTTCTGCTTTGTGCAGATCCGTGGCCTCCAAATAAAGGCTCTAGGTTTATACTTGACTGGTTAAGGAAATATACCTTTGGTGCTGTCAGAAAAATGTGCGACTGCAGCCGGAACAGCTCTCTGCTGTCTGAGTGGCTGCAGGCTGTTCCTGTCTGCTGTGCTGGACCTGAAAAAGCCCTGGAGAGCCCCTGTGGAAGGACTACAGGTGGATTAGGTCACTCCACAAACCTCCTAGCGCTGTATCGATCACACTGGCACAGGTTTAAGTCGCACAGTTAGGGTGTTTTGCTGTTACGTGAATGGGAGCAATCTTAGGAGTCGAATGCTACAGCTCTACAGGCAATTTTTGATTTGTATGTTCATGGAAATATTTATTGGAGGGACCTGTCTATGGCTTTGTCTGGGTAAATCTTGAAAAACCTCCAATGACTGCACTTCTATAACTTTTCCAGGCAGCTGCCCGAGTGAAAGATTTATTCTCTGAAGTCCATCCTGAACCTCCCAATTCACAGCCATTGTCTCTTGTATAATTTGGCCTTACTGAGAAGTATTTTGTTCCCATTGCAACCACACATCAAGTAGCTGTAGGACTTTCTTGGAGTTGTTGCAGTTTCCTTGCAATGAAGATTAGCCAGTGGTGAACAACAGGCTGTTTTGTTTCCTTTTGTTTAATTCTGCATCTTAGTATTCCTGGTGCGCTAAAATGGATTTAGTTCTGGGATTTCATACACATGGGGAAGCTTATTGATAATTGTTAAATGACATATTTAACGCAGTTTTGAAATTGGTTAGGGTCAAAGATCTTAATTTACTTTTGCGTGGCAGCCTTGTTTGGAGAAGTTGCAAACTGTCACTCCTCTGGCCAGCATTGCTCCTGCCTTTCCATAGCTGAGCTCTGGAGCAAACTGGACTCTCAGAGAATAGAGACCGTGAGAGGTCTTCAAGTGAGCTTCTGCTGGATGTCCCCATGCTACGAGGAAGTTCTTAACAACACTGTTACGCTGCTTTGTCTCTCCAAGTTGTCAGGCTCCAGGGTCCACTTTGCTATCGCTTCTGCCAGTATTGCAGATTGCTGCGGCCAGTACTGCCCATCATGTCTTACATGGATTCAAAACCAGTTCAAGGCAATTCCAGCTGTTAGCCATTGTGTTAGTTGCCAGCAAGGTGTTTTCTTCTGCGTGTGAACGTTGGTGAACCACCTGACTGCTCCAAAACGCGGCCACTGTGCTGGAATGCTGACCAAGTCTGTGGGGTTAGTAATTCCCTTTATTAAGCATTAAAAGGGTTGTAATGCAGATTTATAGGGCCATGTTGTGATGTCACTTATGGAGAAACACTGAAATCTTGAACAACTGAAACGTGTTTATCAAGTGGCACAAAGGAAAATGTGGTCAGAGATAGGTCACGCGTGTACCCCTCTCCATGTGTGGCAGCTGTACCCACAATGGATTGCTGCAGCCTTGAAGTTTCAGATTTTGGATGGCTTCTTTTTATAGATCCTTATTCCCTGATAAATTCAGTGCCAGTGACGAGGGGGATATTTCTGTGCCTCCACATGAGATAAGGGTGCCGGCACAGGTGTCCCAGCCCGACCGAGTGCTCTGTGTGGGCGAAGGTGTCACAGTTGGGTTTCGAAGCTGCAGCAGAACATAATTGCCCAACTTCAACCACATTTCATGCATACAGATCGTTACCCTAGTGCTCTGAGACCAGGCCGTGCTTTTTTTCTGCCTTTTTTTTTTCCTTTTTCTTATTTTCTAGGTGGAATTTAAGGCGTGAGCTTAACACAAAGCAGCTCTGGGTGCAATTACCTCTGTGAGCCTTTCCCTCCTCCAGCAGGCACAGTCAGCCGAGGAAAAGCAAAAGCTGTCAGATCCCTGCAGAAAAAGAGAGAAATTAGTGCTGGCAGAGTCTGTACACAACAACTTATCTGCCGTGAAGTTTGAGTCCCTTGTTCCTGCTGGTGTGATCTGTTAACATAACATGCCTGAAATGTTTTCTTACATTCTTACAGGTTTTTTTTTTTCTCTAAAATGAAAAACGTGGGGATATTTACTCCAGTATCACAGAATTGTGGTGGGCTGGTTTCTTGGGTTTTTTTTACGTTCACAGTCTATGCCATTGATGGTGCTGTTGTGTTAATAATATATGAATTAGACACATAAACATGCCCGCATTTATATAAAGATCTACATAAAGCTTATGATTGAAAATGTTAGTGGTTGGACTATTAGAGATTTTTCCCAACCAAAACGATTCCATGGTTCTGTGATTCTTAGATGCTGAGTAATTAGTGACAGAAAAAATCCCTTTTAAAAAAAAACAAAACAGTGTTGGACCAGGTCTGTTACCACGTGTGTTTATTACATTTAGTGCTGTCAGTTGTTAGTGATGAGAATGCCTTAAAGCATTTTTTAAAATATTCATCTCTTTTTAATTCTTCTCATTGGACAGTTAAAATACTCTTCTTAGTTTCAGTCCTGTGTCTTTCATGGTACTTTTGTAAAGTCCTGCTTTACCTGGTTGGCAGGGAACGGAAAAGATTTAGTGCTTTAAAAAGACACACAGCCGTGCCCTCTGCATCTTGGTAACGTTCCTGTTAACTCCCAAGCTGATGGCAAGGAAGTGCTCTAAAGCTTTACTTTTCTCTCTGTGGTAAGCAGACTTTCTTCAAATATTAATAGAGGCAGATGAATAGGTAGTCTGCTTTCGTTAATGTTTTCCAGGATTAATAGATCTCACATCAGCAGTTCTGTATATTCCTTATCAGACTTCTAATTACTCCAAGTATATTGTCATTCCATTTCAATGTATTTAACTCTCTATTTACTACTTGGATACTATTCTTGTCCTCTTTCTTGCCACATCCTCTTTTATCTTCCGTCCCCACTTTCTTGTCAGCTGTCTAAATAGGGTTGCATCCAAGTTGTGCTGAGTGACGCAGATGATTGCGTGTGTGTTTAGAGGCCATTTAAAAACCAAAATGGTTATTTTAATTTAGTCCCTGAAGCAAGTTGTTGTTTTGTTTTTTTTTATTTAAAACACAAAACCAGTCAGGTGGTTGTTAGAGGTTATAGACACAGAAATAAAAATTTACCTGATTAGTATTTTCTGTATAAATAGCTGTAGTCTCTAATTCTATCGTATCTCTATTTTAAAGATCAATGTCCCATTTTAAGTTTTCAACAGCCACAGGGGCACTCTGCAATCTGATGGGGCTACTTGCCCAGTCTTGTTTACTGTTGTTTAAATAAAAGCATTTAGATGGTTAAGTTTAGAGCCTTGTATTTAAAAACAAACCCCAGGCCTAAACAGAAAAATGTGTCCTCAGTTTTCTCTTCTGAATCACATTTTCACCAATATTCCTTTTTTTCCTAAGAGGCTTGAAGAAAGAATTAACAATTTTATAGAAATGTACTGGGATTTCCTACTAACAGATTGCTGATTTATAGGCAGCCAGAACTGTGTGAGCAGATAGTCATTACTGTACTGTATTTTAATTAGATTTTGCTTTACTTTGGTTTTTTTCCCCATTAATTCTCAGGTTGTTTTCACATTACACTAATCATTCCAATTACACCTGTGTAATTTGCTGTTTGGTGCATAGTAAATCGTCTTTAGCTGCATTTCAGACACTGATGCTGGATTCTGGTTCCGAACTTTCTCCAAAGGAAAGTTTGTTCTTGATCAGAAATGTTAAATTCCCTGCAAAGTTTGTTTCCTTCATGCAGCATCAATGATTTTTCATCTCACACTTGAGATCCGCTGCACTTGCTGCTTCGTGGGGGTTGTCGGTGCTCCAGGTCATCGCTTTGCTCAGTCTGTAAGAGGTTGGCAGGAAGGAAAATACTAGAGATGATGCTCATGTATAAACACTTCTGCATCCATTTCTATCTCGTTGCTAAACTATATGGATTCCTGTTCAGGAATCATGTGTCGAAACCAGCGGAGATTTCCTGTCGGCTTTAACCACAGAAATGCACAGGCCGTTCTTTGGTTTGCCACTGCAGCTCTTACAGGGACTGTTGCATTGCCAGCTTCATTCTCAAAGACAAAGTTTGGAAGCCAGGTGTCTGCTGAAATACCGCTCTGTTCATCCTCTTTTTACTGAGAGGTTTAGTGTCATTAGTACAGGAGAGATTGTCGAGAGCAACCGTGGTGCTTGCAAAGGAGAAAGCAGGACCCAGTATGGCTGGAAGTCTTTTCACTTGTGTGCTCCTCCCCTGGCTGTAGAGTGAGAGGAGGAGCGTCTCCTTCTCGGGGAGGGGGGACTGCGGGTCATGGATGGGAGGAGAAGGGGCATGAGGACCTGCCTGTTAGAATATATTGATAAACTGTGGCTGGCAGCAGCTCCCGGCTGTGCGGAGCTGCACAGACGCCTTTGGCTCGTGTAGCAGGAGTGTGTCCTGTCACGTCAAGCAGGGCTGACAGGCGAGAGGGGACGCGGGGTCTGCAGCCTCCCTGCTCCCTCTCACAGCTCCGTCTCTGCCTGCAAAACTCACTGGGCTGGAGTGAACTCCCACTTTTTCTTCCTCACGCAGCCTTGACTGGATTTCTCAGATCTCTGAGCGTTCGCCCCCGTCGGTACGATGGGACTAACCAGACTGAGCAAACTGCTTTGAAACATAGGTATGAAACGACTCCGAGGATGTGCCAAGCAGCGTTACTGCATTTCCAGTGACCTTTCGGTCTGAAACGTTGCCAAAGGGAGGGGAAAGGAAGCCACCGCTCAGTCGCGTTCTGCACGGAGATCTGCAGACAGATGGTGTTTGCATATAGGATATGCTCTTCGGGTGCAACTTTACTACAATGGTCTTCATTTTTAATAATTTCAGGCGGGCTAAACTCCGGCTATATTTGGAGCAGCTAAAACAGCTTGTGCCTCTCGGGCCAGACAGCACCAGACACACCACTCTAAGTCTGTTGAAAAGAGCTAAGATGCATATCAAGGTAAAAACATTAATCCATATTTTTATTTCTTTTAAAACAGAATCTTCCCGAGCCTGTATCCATAGCGAGGAAACTTTCATAAGAAGTCCATATCCGTATTTCCGATCTTAGGGATATATTGGCCTTTATTAGTTGCAAGGATTTCAGTCACAGTATTGAGGGTTTGTGTTTTGCAATTTACCCTGCAGTCTCAGATCCATAAAATGGTCATTTTGTGATTTCTGCTTAGTTATTAATGGTTTACATTGTACTTTTAAAAATAAACATGAACAAAGCTGTTCTTTGATAAATGTAATTGTTCGTTAAGGACTGATCGTAGTAACATTGTACTGAATAGATTTCAATGTAAAAAGCCAGATACGTTCACGATCGGAAAAAATGATGGAGCTAAAGGGTTGATAGCTACTAGTAAGACTTATTCCCATCCCACATCTTCATGCCAAGATCCTGGAGTATTTGACAATGATATTTGATAGTTGCTCCTCCCCTGTTTCATGGGTGTAAGAAGTTTAAAACAAAACCAACCCAAAATCTCACCTGGGATCCAGCAGCAGTGCAGGTTTTGCACAGGTAATTCAAAGGGAATTATTTCTCAGGCCCCCTCTCTCTAAAGACACCTTCACTCCTGTTTGCACTCTCATAGTTTTCTGGGGGACAGGATTATGTGCAGAAATAAGACACACAGGTGTTCAAATGTAGAAATTAAAGAACAGGCTTCTGCTGCTGTCTCCAGGACTGTAATGACTCCTCTGGTATTTTTTCAGTGTTACAGGGAAACAGGTCAAGAAAAGTGTCAGGAGAGGCTGAACACTGCCAGGAATCTTGAAATATTTTGAAGAACAGCCTGCTCTTGCACAGCATTAGGATTCACTGCAGTTGCAGAAACGGGTGCAATTCATATGAAAAATTAAAGATTAATTTAAACAAAACCATTCTTGCAAACAAGTTCACCAAGCTACTTCCTCAGCTCTTATAAGTACATTTACTCCAGCTGGGCAACCCCTGTTTTTACCATTTGAGATTTTGGCCTCTTGTTTAGAGTTCAGGCTAACGTGTGTGAAAGGCACTGCATGTGGTTTTTGTCTTGGGCCGCCCCCCTATCATGGGCTTATGCATACAAATTAAAAACTGTTTTTACAAGTGGCAAGTGTGAGTGATTAGCCATGTAGTTACCATTTCAGATGCTGATAAAAAAAAGCTAGGAACAGATTATTTCCAAGTCCATCCTGCGTGGTACCAAGTACTTATTTTCTGAGAACTGAAACTTCAATTTCAATTTCTGTTGAAGATTTGAACTGAGCCTGCCCCAACTGGGTTGCCACTTAATTGCTCCCTTTCGTGAGGTCATCTACCTCCCTGCTGCACTGCCGGGGCACGCCAGTGCCTGGTGAGTACAGTCGTTGGTTTTGAACTTCTCACACACACCCCCCCCGAGATCTTGAAACCAGCCCTGAAAGATTGGACGGTTTTGAGTCTCCTGGATGTGAATCACTGAGTTCATTCCTAAAATAGTCGTTAGAGGTTGGGATTGCAGCCAGGAAAATACAGGAAGAGGAAATCTGATCAATTGGGCACATCGGGTTTGTTGTGTACATGGGTGTACCAACCCCTTTTCTTATTATAACATTGTGTATCCACATAGGATGCGTATCTACGTAGGGTGTTGCCTGGGAGGTGGCTCAGCATGAGGCTGCAGAAGTTAGATTTCATTCAGCCAGGGAACTGCCCAGTTCAATAGTGTCAGTTATTTTTTCAAAGATAAATACTTTTGCTTTCAGGCTTGCATTGGAACAACAAAATCTCTGAAATCGTTTTGCTTGTGGTTTGCTGTGCACTGTCGCACCCTGCTCTCCTCAGAAAGCCGAGCGTAGGTTCATTCAGACGGTAGGGAGGAATCGTCAGCAGCTGTATTTGCTCCTGGGACATCTCCCAAATCTCAGTGGTCGTGTAAACACAGCTCATCACAGAGAAAATCAGTCTTTCTTATAAGTGCTTTTACTGCTACAACCTGTAATTTACTTCATCAGTTACATAATTTTCTTTTAAAATAACATAAGGTGTTCTAATTCGTGTGTCCTTCCTCTTTTTGATCCCGTCATACTCATTACACTTTTTTGCCTAATTATAGTAATTTTTTTTAAATGGCTAGCAGTGGTTTGGAGGAGGGTTCAGTTGAGATCTTTTTGAGAGATACCATTTCTCTTACTGCATTCGGACCAATAGTGCATCACATTTTATCAAATATGAAGTATTCTTTTTATTTCCAAAATGAATACCTTCTTTTACTCAAGCAGAGGGGAGACTTCAGGTAGACGTGGTCAAGGATCCTTTCACAGGCTGTTTGCTGAGAAATTTTGGATTAATACCACTGATTTTGTAGGAGTTTATCACAGAATTATCACATGTGCTCTGCAGAAGTTAAAAGAGAAAAAAAAGGCAAGAATAAAGAGAATTGTTAGCAAATTCCTCCTACCAGATATAATTAATACTGCTTATTGTTAATTAAGCTTCTTAGATGCTAGAAAATTCCATGGCCTGTGGTAGGAGGGAAAGTATTTGTTCCTTTATGGTGATAAGTCTCTTATTTGACCTAAAGAGGAGTTATGTTCTGACTCGAACCTTAGCTGTGCTCTAGTTATCAAAGATGAAGCCAGTTTTGCCTGACAAAATGATTTAAATATTCCCCTCGTCTTTGAGGGATTTTCCCCCCATGCCCCCTGTATCCATATATCTTATTGGGAAACAAATTCAGCTCAAGCTTAGCCTGCTTAAACTGTACTGACCTCCACAGAATGATAACAAAAAAAATTTTACAAGTAACTTAATTTTAGTTTTAAATTAATAAATTAAAACGCATTAATTGCTTTAAAACTACTGTTTATGAGAAGATCTTAAGTTGCTGATGTTTTAACGTGGGTATAAACTGTTCAGCCTACTCTCTTTCTCGCCCTTCAAGAAATTGGAAGAGCAGGACCGAAAAGCTCTAAATATTAAAGAACAATTACAGCGGGAACACCGCTACCTCAAGCGCAGGTTGGAGCAGCTATCCGTGCAGGGCATGGAGCGGATCCGCACTGACAGTATGGGATCAACAATATCCACTGACTCCGAACAAGGTAACCGAAGGAGGCCTTCCTGAGGGCACTTGCAGGAGCAGGAAGGAAAAGGGAAGTAGGGAAGCAAGAAAACATTAGTTAGGACCAAAATCAAGCTTTCAACAATAACCAGACCAAATTGTTCCATTATGCAATTTGCAGGATGAAAAAAACCTGCATCTTTTACTTTATTTGAGAAACGTTATTTTTTCTAACCTGTTTCATAGCTATTAATACTGCACATATTTTAAAAACTATTTTTATACAACGTTTTTGCCATTTTTTTTAACAATGCCCATTTAATGATCTGAATTTTTAGTGTAATTATTGATAAGGCTGGCATGATGTTTTCTTCATGGAAAGAAAAAAAATTGCATTGGTCTTAATTCGTTTGTGTGAATAAATTGATTCTACACCATTTGTTTTGAAATTTTAAAATATTTTCTGTGTAACCATGACCCAGTCTCTCTACATTTGGTTGTCATTTAAGACAGACCTCTTCAAGCTGCCTGTCACCATTCCTTCTTTCCTCATCTGAGGTTTTTTCTGTGCCTGGGTGCGCTTGCACAGGCCGACTGTGTCAGTGCCCCCGGGAGACGAGCTGTCGGTGGCGCGCGGTTACCGGTGGGCGGATGGCCACCCCGCGGTCGCTACTCGCCGACACCTCTATGGGTTGGAAGCACCGTGAACGGTGCCACAGTATTATGGTCTCTGAGGGTTGGGTTTCTTATTTCTTTTTAAATCAGCATCTGTGCACAGGTTGGAACAGTTCCGGGACGGCATTTGGTGTTGATGTCATGCAGTGTATTTATGTGGATGAGGACAGAAGGGTTTTTAATTCTCAGGTGGACAAGATGATCCTTTCCTCAGAAAATACTGTTCCAGTTCTTTTTCTCTAATTACAGAAAATGAGGTATTATTCAGGCCCACCATTACTTGCTGCTGATGCCGGCCTGTGATTACTCGCTGCACCCGCTGCCTTTCTGAAACTGTGCCTTCTTCTGTTTCCTTTAGAGGTAGACATTGAAGGAATGGAGTTCACTCCAGGTGAAATGGACAGTATTGGAAGTGCCAGTGATGCCGAAGACCACTACAGTTTGCAAAGCGGTTCGAGTGACGGAGGTTACACACATTCCCGCAGACTGAATGCCAGGCTCTCATAGTGCCTGAGTGACCCGCGCGACTCAGGACCATCTGACTGAAGCACTTATACATGAATATTCCAGAGGTGTCAACTGCCACTCTTCCGGGAAACCCCAACCACAGTACTCTGACATGGAGGTTTCTTACCCACGGTTCCCTGCACTGTAACCACGATATTAGATATTGTAAATCATGGGTTTGCTGCAGAGAACTGTGGTTAGGTACAGTTGTGACTTAAAGCTAGCTTGATGTAGCCATACTGCAAATTAAAGAAAATAAATTATGTCATTCCATTCAAGAAGTATTAAATTCGAACTGTTGGAAGCATGGCATAAGGGAGTTTGACAGTTATTTTGATTTTGCAGAAACCATTTTCAGACATGGAAGACTAAATGGAAGCTACAATGTTCTAATCATTAAGAGATACGAAAACGTAAAACTACTTTTTGTGGTATTTTTTCAGAAAAAACCCAAAACATTTGGACCACTGTATAGCAGGCTCTGTAAATTCTTTCAGCAGTTGTTGTTTGGGTGAAGCAGGCAGATAAATCTCCAAATCTCAGATGATCTTTAGAAAAGGTCATACTTACAAGTCACTACTGTACTTCAAAACGGGGGAAAAGCCAGCTCTAATAATGACTTCATGTGGGATGATCTCAACTTTCTTTTGCTTTTTTGTATTCAATATCCAACCAGCAGCAAATCATTCTGTCCATGTTAACGGGAGCAGTAGAAAGCAACGCTGCAATTTTAACCTGTTACCGTGGAACAGATGGCATTTGAAGCATTTCAATAGGTTTTCTTGGTTGTTTTTTTCATTTCTTTGTCTGAAGAATACAGAACTCAAGTGATCCAGTTTGCGATAGTTAATCTTTCCTTCCAAGGAAATGAAATCTCTGTTTGCTTGTATTCTTTTTTCTTTTCTTCTATTTACACATGTCAATACATTTTTATGGAAGGCATGGCTTAAAATTACGTTATTCAGATAATTATTTTTTTTTCTTTTGCACACTATAATTGCATTTTCTATTCTTAAAAAAGTGCAAAAAATTAAAATGTATGCTGTAAAACAGCAACGTTTATTTAGTACTCATCAAGCTCTTCAAAACATATTTACCCAAATTGTAGCAATACTATGAAGATGTATTTTAATACAACTTCTGCTTAGTGAAGTCATTAGAGCTTGGCTTGCCGGGTAAGAAAAAAAATGGACCAGTCTTTGCATTATCTGTTTAAAGAAGGTCTTTTAAAAAAAAAAAAAAGAAGAAAAAAAAAAAAGAAAAAAAAGGAAAAAAAAGAAAAAAGCTATAAACACTTTTAGGGAAGTGATTTTAGCAAGTGTAGTCTATATTTCCTGTAAGAGATTTTGTATTATATTTTCCTAAATGTTCTCATTTACTTGTATAGGGAGGGGAATGGTACAGACCCAGACCAGAGTCTCAGGGACTCTTCACCTTTGTCATATTGTGCCTTGGTGACCATTTATGTATGCCTCTCCTTCTCATTGTTTAAAGGACAACTAAGCTTTGTTTCCAGACCCTCTGTTCGAATGGTCAGTTGTCCACCTTCTTACGGATGAAGCAGAGAGGTGTATTTGTATCTTCGCCCTCTCACAACAGATTCAGTGTGGCTTTAAGTAAAATCATAAAATTAGGTTTCGGTGCGAGGGTTTAATTGTCTTTGTATAAGCCCTCCCGTGGATTCTTCAGCACCCGAATCTATATTTTGTTAGCTTATAATAAAGTCAGGGTCTCTGTGAGACCAGCACTCAGCGGCTAGGGAAACACAAACGTACTGTGTAAGGCTATGGGATGTCCAAGTGTGGTGCCATTTTTAGCATTCGGATACAAGACCTCATGACAGACTGACCATAATGATCAAAAACAAAGATTCAGTTGTTCTTTCAACATCTGACATACGTGTCCTCCCTTTGGCTCTTACAACACAGAGTAGAAATACGAATACATTTTGTGGCAGCTTACAGATCCTTGTTTGCACTCTCGCTTACTGCTTGGAACTTGCCAACAAGGAAAACGTATACATTTAATTTACATAACCTAATGGACGGCCACCCCTACTTTGGCTCTAGGGAGGGGCCTAAGGTTATAAACTCTGGCAGCTGAATAAGAAAACAATTAACCTTTTCTGTGATGCAGGTTTTGGTATTACGTTCTCTACACCTTGCATATTACTAAAATCCTCATTGTTGGGGAAAGCACACAGCAATATACTCATTGTGTGTAGCTGACAAGCAGCAGAAATTACTAGCTCCTTTGGTGCATATGTAACTAATTTCCAAATCATGGAAAAAACAAAAAAAGAGTTTACTTTAACACACGACTGTTAACAGGAAAATAAATAAAAAAAAAGGCTAGTATATTGTTGCTGTTCATTTATTATATAATGAACACATTCATGAATTGTAAAGTGTTTCCTTTCATGACAAGCAGCTCTTGCACAGAACTTCTCCTAATGAAAAGAGATTTGAAACTTAAAGAAGGAAAACCAAGATTTTAAATTGAACATCATTGTACCTTAGGTCGACCTGAAATTTTCCTTTTAAATATGAATGTGCTAACTTAATGAGTTCTTCCACGCTGGGTATCCATGGCTTTGTAGATCTTATATTTTCAATAAAAATTACTCGAATAATCTTGAGTGGAAATAAAAAGGGTTTATTTGTTGTTACTTTCTCAGTTATTACAGCTAGGGGCTGTCACGCCTGTAAAGAAAAATGACACCGTACTGCCCGTGCCATTCTCCCTTGAGCGCAGCCCAGTTTAAGGTGGTGTTTTTAGGCACAGCTCCCTTCTCTGCAGCTGGGACGGAAGCAGCCCGGCCGAAGGCAGCGGCCCAACCGTTCCACGTGTCTGGTTTGGCGGCCGCCGGCCCCGGGAGCGGTGCCGCAGCCCGGCCCAGCCGAAACACGAGGACAGTCGGGGTTCTGACATTCCTCTAGGGATGCGATTCACTCGCTACCAAGCAGCCAGCAGGGCGCTACCTGCAGCCATAGCACCTCGGGATGCGAACAAGTATTCTGCTGTGACTATTTTCTTTAAGCTGGATATTTGTGCGTGTGCTCCGTGCACGTGCAGCCATCCGTGTGCGCGCGTGCAACTGTACCTGTAATCCCGTCACTGCCAAAGAGCATCCTGCTTGCCGCGAGATCAAATCCGTCACTGCCTCGGCAGCTCTGCCGTTACGTGTCTGACCGTGCTTTCAGCAGGTGAGGAGACGCTACTGCTCCGTTAATCTGTTTTCTCTGCAGTTACCACATAGGAAAATAAAAGGAGCAGGAGCAAGATTACAGGGCTGTTAGGTCTTTTCCTCTGTGGAAGAGGCTGTGGAGAGATGAAGTCATCAAGAAGTTCTTTTTATGGAGGCGCAGGGGTTTGGCCCGGTTCCTGGTGGGGGAAGAAAGGAAGGGCTTTCCCTTGCAGCACGCAGGTGTAGAGAGGATACGCTCCTCCTCATTGCCCCAGAGTTAGCTCTTCTCGCTCCAATCACAAGAGAGAGGCGTGGAAAAGGCAGCCTAAAATTTTTAGCTTTTTCTGCAGATTCTCCACTACAGTTTGGAGGATGAATCCTTCTCCTCACCCATCCTCTCTCTGCCCAACTTGAACCCACCAGGCCAACTGACATGGATTTATTTATCTTCTGAAAAGAGCAGTAGAAACTCTACAACACGTTGCTGCCCAGAGACCGGGTCCCTTATTGGCTTGTGCAAAACTAAACTCGGTTCAGAGTGAGTTCTGACAGATTAAAGCAGAAATAGAAAGGCCCCCCAAAACCCATGAGAAGGACAGCTTTTCATCTGGTGTTTGTAGACACATCTCTATCCTAATTTCTTAGTGTAAGATTTGGGGTGGAAAAAAAAAAGAACTACAGCAACTTGTATCTGAGTTTAAGAATTAAGGACTTTTTCTGACCTTAAAAGCTGTTATTTTTCTTGACATGGATGAGTATGAGTTCAGCTATACCACACACAACCTAAAAGCATTTTGGGTTAAAAAAAAAAGGTACTTCTGTTTATCTACAAATAAATTACTGTGATAAATAGCAGTATTCTGAGCATCCAACTGCACGCTCTGCACAACCCATTTCAGAGGATGAATTTAACACCAGAAGAGACCGAAGAAATGGAAAGAGGTGAAGTTGCGTGTGTGTGACCCGCTCCTGTTCCGAGCCCTGGGGTGTGCGTAGCTGCAGGATGGGCTTCTGCTTTTCTGGAGGGTATTTACAGCAGTCTCTGCTACTGTGACAAGTGATTATTTCACCATTTTTCCAGCCTTAGAGCAGACTGGTAATTAGTGGTGAAATCTTCTATCCAGCACTGTGGAAAAGAAACACATTTTTGAAAAGAACCGCATCGTCACAGCTTTTAATCAAGTCATAACAATTTTATAAACTTCATTTTATGATGGTGTTGATAAAGGAATGTCTGCAAAACAGATTACTCTTTCAGAAATCAGTTAAATTTCTTTGAACTATTAGAGGCCATTGGTTGTGTGTGGTAAGAGCCAGTAACAGTGTTGATATTTAATCCACCAACTTGCACTTTCCAAAATTCGTAGAAGAACTGAATCCCTTTAGATATTCTTTAAGGAAGAGCTGTGCTCCCAACAACTACTAATGGGTGAAAACCATCAGAAATTAATTTCACCAGCAACCAAATGAGCCAATTTGCTTGAGTGAGTGACTAAATGCAGTTGTTAATTGATAGCTGCAGAAGAGTGTTTGTGTAACTACCTAGAATAAAAATGCAGGTGATATACGAAACAGAAAAGACCAGAAACCATTTAGTCACCTCAGCTGTTCTCTCCACCTGTTGTAAATTAAGCCCAGCAGAGGATCCCCGAGGAGGCACACCCAGCCAGAGGCTCACCCATCGGCAAAGCAGAGTGAAGACGTTCCAATTTCCAAATTTCATGGAAGCATTTCCATGACGGGCACAAAATGTGGTAAAGCATGAACTGTGCCACTGAAAGGGTCTGTGCAATACGGTTTTTAAGCATCAAAATTTTGGTGCAGGGGAAGCACTGACAGGGAGACTTTTGCTCTTCACTGGTCAAATCATTACCTACAGGTGCTGGTGAGCGGGTTCTGTGCCAGAGCCGTGGGGTCCCCGAGCCAAAGGGATGGCTCGTAGTCAGTGAGATGTGTTCTGCTGCACTGATTCATTTGCATGCATGTACGTGGTGCTTGCTGCTTTCCATAGCACACAGTGTTGTGTTGTATCTTTGCCTCGTCATATTATAAATACAGTGTTTTACACCTTTTTGTTGTGGTTTTCTGTTTGTGGGGGTTTTTTTAATTTATTTTTTGTTGGTACAGTGTTTCTTCTCTTTGCAAATCCTTGCGTATAGGCTGAATTGCTGTTTCATGCGGTGCTCACTGAGTTTTCGCAATTCAAATTAATAGTATGGTATGAAGGTTGGAGTGCTATTTAAACTAAAATTCTTTTACATATGTTGGCCTAATGCAACCCCATTAATGTTATTTGTCTCTAACCATGGGTGCTGTATAAATTTCCAACACTCCATTTCTGAAGACAAACCAGCCTGTAAAACAAAGTGCAAATTGAAATGCATTAGTGACTGTTCTAAGTAATTATGCTTGAAATCATTCCAGCTCTGTACAACATGGGGAAAAAAAGCATTAAAAGGCATGTTCTGCACATGTATTTTGTCGAATGTGAAAGTCACATCGCAAGTGATGTACAGCTAAAACCGAGTATTTTAGTTTGTTACTAGGAGATAGGAGGGACAGAACTGAAATGCCTTTTCAAACTGCATCGCAATCCTCTCACCTGTAGTGTGTGACACCCACTAGTTGTTTCAGTTTGTCATGCGTGTTCTGCTTAAATACAGTGATGTGAAAAATATAGAAATATTAATTTTAAGTTGAAATCATGGCAAGTAGCTCGTTGATATGATTATGTTTGATTCAAATATGCTGAGCTGCTGAATAAGTAAAAATACTCATGCGCAAAGCATAGCAAACTATTTTTTATCACTGCTTTCTTGAAATTACTACTTAGAGAATAAGCATAAAATACAATCCAGCACATAGCTAACTTATTATAAATTAATCTCCAAGAAGAAAAAAAGCAGAAAGAAACTTTTAGCAGTGCTGTATTTTGGGACAGCACCACTTTTCTCAGCACGAGAAAGGATTACATGGGGTAACAGAATGATGACAAGTGTGTTGGCACTGTTTTTGTAAATCCTGTACAGTCTATGACCTGCACAGCTTTTTTCCTGACATTTGTAATGTCTTATGATTGGCTTATAAGAAAACTAAG